TGTTTATGGGAAATGTGAATCTGTTGCTCTTTGAAATGTATCAGAGCAGGTGACTGGCACCGGGGGATTCACTACCCAACACCCATCTCCACACAGTCATAGAAGAAACAAGTGTCCCAACTCTGGGTGTGGATCAGTTCCTGGCACACTGTGGAAAGAGCCCACTTTGGGGACATTATGGTGACTCAGATGGGGTGGCCATAAGGTCTTGCCTAGATCATCTTGCTGCCCCTGGCAATGGAGAATCAGAACAGACTCCAGGAGGCACCAGCCAGATGATCAGGGACTCCTCCAAATCTGCTTCAGCATTATGGCAGTGAGCAAACTCAAAATGCTCCAGAGATATTCAAGCAAGGGTGGATGAGTGGACGGAATTCTTGGATTGGCAAGTGCACTTTTGTTCCTTTTTCATATTGCTTTTACAAAAGGTGTAGATTTATCAGTGTAACTTATCAGTGGTATCAATCTCCATGTAAGTCACAAGGAAACACTGGGCAGTGAGCCTTAATCAATCAATGGGATGGGAGCACTGTAACTACTTAAGGGCCAAACTTTCTTACCATAGAAGAAAAAAGAATGATGTTATAGAAGGAAGAAGAAGAGGAATGGCCTGGAGATTTGGGCTCTTGGCCTGAATGTGTTATTTGTTATTTGTTATTGGACAGGAGGAGTCAGTTATAAGAGTTAGATGTTATGATGGTGGAAAATTTTGACAGTGAGGGAAGGGGACCAGGGGAAAATATCAGGGCATGCCCAGTTGATATTCTGGTTCCAATAAAGCTGGGGAATTAAACACTAGATTTTTCTATCTATAGTGGAGCCACACTTTCAGAAGTAACTTGCTGCAAGGGCCTGCTGAGGAAAGTTCCAGTACAGATTTTTGAGACAGTAGGAAAATGAGCTTTGTAGCCACTCCTACCACCCATGGCATGGATAGTTGGTGACACTAAAACAACTCATCCATTTCTATATATGCCATAATGCCCCCTTCCCTTTCCGGGATGAGATATATTTTGTAGCTTAAGTGCACAAAACCTTAAACCTTTTCTGAGAATACCATGCAGCTTCACATTCCACCTGAGATAGGCTGGAAAGCTCAGATCTGCCTGTTAATGTGTAAACCATCGGAGGACATTGGAGAAAATATTCTGGATGCCATTTCAAATGCAGTGATCCGCATGGGCCACAGGAAAATGAGGTAAAGCAAAGAATATGACTCCAGTTAAGACAAAAAGCTCAGAACGAAAAGTTAAACCATTAAGAATAAATAAATATCCTATAAAGACAGAAGCACAAAAAGGTCTGGAACCACTGACATACACATTCTTACAATTTGGTATACTCAGACAATGTCAATCTGACTTTTAGATGCTTTTCTCCAGGTAAAGAAGCCCTGTTCTTGAGAATGCAGATTAGTACAAGTTTAAGAGCAGTCAATCAAATATGCACAGATATACACCCAAGTGTACCAAATCCTTATGGCTTGTTAACCTCAGTGCTGGAAACAAACTTTTATTTTACTGTTTTGGCTTTAAAGAATGCTTTCTCTTATATCCCAATAGACAAGCAGAGCCAAATCATCTTTGCCTATGAATGAGAGAATCCTGTGGCTGGAAGAAAGATGCAGTTGCACAGTGCTCCCTCGAGGATTCAAAAATAAGCCCACTTTATTTGGTGGTTTTGGCAAAAGTAGAACAATGGAAAAAAGGTAAGTGTTCTTCTTTTGCAGAGTGTAGATGACATCCTAATTGGAGCTGGAAAGGAACAAACCTTCTTGAAAGTGACCATGAGCCTGCAGAACTTTTTGGGACTTGCTGGAATTTCCAGGAAAAAAAGGTAAGACAAATACCTTAGCTTTAAGGTATCAAAAGGACAATGAGCTCTGGGAGAAGGAAAAAGTAGTGATATTCCAAACTTCAGCTCCTAGGACTAAAAGATAACTAACAGGAGTTTTGTTAGTGGCAGGATTTTTCCCTATACAGGTTCAAAGTTTTGGACTAATAGCCGAGCCCCTTTATTTGGCAGTCAAAGGCCCTGAAGAATTGCTGGAATGGCCCTGAGATGGTTAAACCAGTTATAACACCATAAAGGATGCTCATGAAAGCACCTTCCAGATACGACTAAGCCCTTTTCATGTGCACAAAGGCAACAAGTAGTCTCTTTGGGGATGACACAGCTTCTTGGAAATTGGCAGAAGCCAGTGGCATCCTTCTCCAGCTGGACCAGCAACTAGATGGCCAGCATACTTATGGGCCATAGCAGCCAGCACCTTAATGATGGAGGAGGCCCAGAAATTCACTTTGAGATGATCACTAACTGTGCTAGTCCCATATGCCATTGCTGGCTGTTTGGAATCCAAAGGGACATCACTGGATCTCTCCAAGCTGACTGGCAAAATACCAAGCTGTGCTAATGGACCAGGGAGGGAAGTAGCCATGTGTGTGACATCAACTTTAAATGAAGCCATTTTGCTCCCTACTGAAAAGCAAGGACCTTTTCAATATGGCTGGCTGCAGACCGTGGAGCAGTCAAGATGCCGAGATTTAAGGCATGAACCTTTGAAAAAAACCTACGTTTTTGGCAGCAGGTTTGTGAATACAGGTAAGTTACCCCTGGTGGGATAGAAGAGATCAGTGGTATCCCTTAGGGTCTGTGTCAGGGACCCCTAGGATGACATTGACCCATAGAGCATCACCCTGTGCCCACAAATCTCCTGCCTTCACTCACCTCACTCACTTCTTGGGCATCTAGCTACCTGACCTGAGGACCAGCCGGGTTTCACTGCCTGCATGACATCTGGCTGCGAAGGTAGGAGCCTGGGGACCCCAGCCTGGGGACCCCCTCCCCAGAAAATTCCACGTCCTCCCTGACAGCTCCATTTTCCTCAGGGTTGTATTGCAGTGAGTGCTACAGAACCCTGAACATCTGCACCGTCTGCATGGCCCCCCTGAGCTTCCCAGACGCTGGGGAGGAGGAGATGTGAGCAGAGGGGTGCTGGGAGCCCACCCGAGCCGGGGGGGCTGCAGCAGATGGTGGGGACTGCAGCTCACCCCTGCCTTCTCTGCCCCTGCAGGGACTCCAGTGACGAGGAGACACCGGAGCTGCAGCTGGGTGCTGTGCAGGAGCGAGGGGGCCAGGAGCGAGGGCAGCGGCTGCTGCAGCGCATCAAGGACATGATAAAGGACCGGAGACTCCCCTTCAGAATGGCTGCTCAGCTGTGAGCCCAGCTGGAGGAGGAAAAGAGCGAGGAGAGTCATGTGGGCAGCAATGGGATGGCCAACAAGAACAGATTGCTCTGTAGGTGAGGTCTGGCTGCAGGGGTGGCAATGTCCCTGTCCCCCGCAGCACTGGCGATGCTGGATGCCAGCACTGCACTCCTCTCTCACAGCAAGACTTCAACTACCAGCAGAAGGCCAAGAACAGTGAAAGTGTGGGCAAGGGCCCAGTGACAGCAGGATAGTGTCACGTGGCAGCAAAAACATGGGTCCAGGTGCTGGGATGTGTCTGGAGCCCCACCAGTGCAGCAGAAGCTGAGAGCCACTGGGTGGGGATGGGCTGGTGAATAAATCATCTGGTCCTCAAGGCAACAGAGTCCTGGTACTCTGAGTTGGTATCCACCATTCCATGGTGATCCTGACCTTGTGATACCCCAGCTCCATGCTGTCCCTGGCTCCATCCCTGCTGTCACCCCAGCCTCTCAATGCCCCCCAGCCCCTACCTCCAGCACCTTGGTGCCACCATCTTCATGCCCACTGTGCCTCCAGCCCCTACACATCCCTGTTGCCAGCCTTTATGGTGTCCCCATTCCCATCCCTGTGGTGCCCCCAGCCCCATGCTGATCCTCACCCCTCGATGTCCCTCTCCCCATACATGGTGCCCCCTCCTCATCCCTGCAGTGCCCCAGACTCTCACTGTTCCTGTCCCCAGTCCCACAGTGCCTCCCATCCCGAGCTGTTCCAGGGTGGGGGTGCAGAATATACAGACAGCTGGACACGGGGGAAGTCCCTGCTTCTCCGTTTATTACCAAGCAGCCTTCGTTTAAAAAAAAAAAAAAAAAACAAACACAGACATACAGACAGGCAGAGGCGGCCCGGCGGGGCGGGGGCCGCCCGCCCATGGTTTGTTTGGTTCCTGACACCAGAGAGGTTCAAGTAGCCGAAAAGGTTCAAGTTCACCATAAGGCACTTTAAAGCCATGACGGGAGCAGAGCCCCCCCGGCCCCATCACCCCTCCCGGCACCCCATGGCAGATGTGGAGGCCGGGCAGCGCTGGTGGTTGGCAGCGAAGGGGCTGGGGGGGGGGGAATATATTACATCATCTTTTTAAATATAGATAAAACTCTTATTTGTAGACAAATAGTGCCGGTCCCCTACACCCCCGGGGAGGCTGCGCCCTGCGGGGGGCATGTGCAAAGGACAGAGGGGTGACCGTAGGGGCCCGGCCACCCCAGGGAAGGGGGGGTCCCACAGGGCCGGGGGATTTTGGAAGGGAGAAGGGTCCGGGGGGGGCCGGGGCTGCCCCGCACCCGGGTGGGCTCACCCAAATAGTGCAACCAAGAGAAAGCAGCCGGGAGTGCAGGGGCGAGGGGGGCTCGCCGGGGGGGGGGCTGCTCAGAGTGGGGAGGTGGGGAGACAAGCTATGCACAGCGCAGGACAGTGTCCCCCCCACACTGGGGAGAGGATGAAGGGGCTCTCCCCACCTGGGGGGGGGCGGGCCTTGGTCCATGGGTGTCCCTGCCCAGTCCTGGCATCCACGAGGGGTTTGGTGGGGGGACATCCAAGTCCCAATCCCGCCATCACCCACCTGGGCATGACCAGGTGGGCCCGGGCATGGTGGGGGGGTGGTAGGGGCCCCCCACCCCCTTGTGCAAATCGGCCGAGGGGAGTTTCCCCCTTTGCATAACTAGGAATGAACCGTGACGGGAAAAACAGGAACAGAAACCCCAGTGGGCACGGCACAGCTCAGCACGGAACGGCACGACACCTGCCGTTGCATCGGCCCTATGCCATCTCCACCGGCACGGTGCCATCTGGCTGCGGCCCCTCCTCACCCTCCGGCTCCTCATCCTCCTCCTCGGGCTGCCCTGGAGCCCAGTAGCGGGCGATGGAGAGGCGCAGCCCCTCCAGCCGCCCGTTGGAGAGGTCGAGGCCGGGGGGCCCAGCGGGCGGTGGAGGGGGCTCATCACGGCGGCGGCGGCGGGTCCGCACCTCCAGGCAGTTCTGGCCCTTGAGGTGCCGCTGGAGGTGGTCGTCCTTGGCGAAGGCCTTGTGGCAGAGGTAGCACTCGTAGGGCCGGGCGCCTGTGTGCAGGTGCATGTGGTTCTTCAGGTCATAGCTGTGCAGGAAGCGGGCACTGCAGTGCTGGCAGGAGTAGGGCCGCTCACCTGTGTGCTTCCGCATGTGGATCTTCAATTTGTCATTCCTGGAGTTGGGACACACAGGGAGATATTGGCATTGAGTAGCCAGCATGCCAATCCAATCACAGCAGAGAGGGCAATGGTGCTGAAAGCCCGACAGCAGGGATGCTCTGCAAGGCACAAGGGTCTGGGTGCTGCATGACAGGGCAGGGGACCATGGTACAGCTGCATGGCTGAGATGCAGCTGGCTGCAGGGATGCTGCTGGGTACCTGGGCTGGTCTGGCAGCATTAACAGTGTGGAAGACTTCCCTGGACCTGCACCACAACCATGCTGGGGCTGGCAGATGTGTTATGGGTGCCATCAGGTATCAGACCTTGGCTGATCTGGCAGCACTCAGAGTGCAGAACACCCCACTGACCTGACTTCACCAGCAGCTATGGCAGAGGGGCACTACAAGGGATGCTACTGGGTACCTTAGGTCAGTCCAGAAGCTCTCATGAGGTGCAGAAGGCCCCATAACCCCATGCACCACAACAGAACTTGCATGGAGGATGCCATTGGGTACCCTGTGTTGGTCTAGAGCACTCATGGGGTGCAGAAGACCCTCTGAATCTGCATTGCACTGGCAGGACTGGCAGAGGTGTGCCGTGCAGTATGCCATCAGGTACCCGAATTTGGTCCGGCAGCACTCAGGGCATGCAAAAAGACCCCATGAGCCATGCCAGGCCTGCGGCTAGATCCCAGTAGGACTGGCAGGGGAGTGCCATAGGGGATGTCATTTGGTACGTGTCAGGTGGGGAAGCGTCCATCCAGCAGCACTCACCGTGTGAATCGGACTCCACAGACCTGGCAGGCGAAGGGTTTCTCGCCCGTGTGCGTGCGCATGTGGCGGGGCAGCTTGCCGGCGCCATGGATGACCTTGTGGCACACAGGGCACTCCTGGGGCATCTGCGAGCGGCGCTTGCGCACCAGCTTGTCAGGGCTATCCAGCCCAGGCGCCAGCGACTCATGGTGCAGAGAGCTCAGATACGCCATCAGGTCGGGGTCGATGGCGTCGTCATCAGAAGCAGCCTCCTCAGGGGACAGGGGTGGCTGGTAGGGGAAGGGGAAGGAGTGTGGGGGCAGCTCCTCCTCCTCAGGCAGCTCAAAGCTGTCATATGGCAGGGGCAGCCCCTCAGGCAGAGGGGGCGAGGGCAGCTGGGAGGGCGGCGGGGGGCTGCCAGAACCCTCGGCCTCAGTGGGTGGCTCCTCGGCATGGTTGTTGAGACGGGCACCACGGGCTTGCAGGAACTTGCGGGTCTTCTTGCTGCGGCGGGGGGTGGGGCGGGGGGGTGGTGGGGCGGGCACCTCACCCTCGGGGAGGGTGGAGAAAGCCTCCAGGTAGCGGCGGGCGCGTTCGCAGTCGCCATCATCGGGGCCAGGTGCCTCCATCCCATTGCCCTGCAGGATCTCTACACAGGCAGCAATGACACAGGGGATCTCCAGCAGCCGGGCAGCACGCAGCACCTCGCCCATGTTGGCGCTGCTTATGGTCAGTGTGGCTGTGTAAGCAAACTCCAGCAGTGCACCCAGTGCCTCTGGCCCCACAAAGTCCAGCTCACAGACCTCCTGCCCTGGCCCCGGCCCTGCAAAGAGCTTCTTAAAATAGCGGCTGGAGGCAGCCAGGACAGCACGGTGGGTGCGGTACTCCAGCCCTTGCGTCTTGATGGTGACGTCGCAGAGCAGCCCCAGCTGCCGTTGCTCATTCAGGCAGCTCAGCAGCTCGCTGCTGTGCTCGGGGAAGGGGATGCCGATGAGGTCGTCCTCTGGGCTGGCCATTGTCCTCACCTGCAGGAAGGATAGGATGCTGCCTGACTGATGGAGGAATAACCTGGGAGAGAGCACTTGGAAGAAACCCTGCAGCTGGAGCATCACTGTCAGGAAGCCAGCGCACAAGGAACCCTCCATGTACATGCTGGTGGCACTGGGGTTTCAGTGGGACACTAAAACGGGGCAGGCTTGGGGCCTGCAGTCTGCCCTCAGCTTCCTCCGTACTATGTAGAGGTTGGCGGGCACAGGCCCCCCACCACAGGCCCCCCACCACAGGCCCCCACGCTTCCTCCACTACCACCAGCAGCCAGCCGTCTGCACCGCCACAGCAAAGGGGGAAATCTCAGTGTGGTGCCTTTGAACAGCGCTAAGGTGCAGCACTTCCTGTGTCAGCCCACCCAAAATCCCCCCAGCTCACTGTCATGGCCAAGCGCACCCATTGGCTCCCAGCAACCCCATCCTGGGAATGTGGGCCTCACTGGCAGCAGGCACGGGTGGGCGGGCGAGTGCTGGGAAGAGCACCCTGAGGGTTGGGGGCCGCCCCATGGAGCCCAGCTGGGCTGGGAACAGGGGCCACATTTCCTGCCACAGCAGATTAGGATCAGCACCCATGCCACCGGTTCCTGCCCCCGCTCCTGGTCGGGACTGGGCCCCCTCCCTCCCTCCCCCTGTGCCCCAGCCCGGGGCCACTCCTCGCCCAGCCAAGCCCAGCCTGCGCCAGCCAGGCCTTTCCCACGCTGCGGCTGGCAGAGCTTGGCCTCAGCCCTAAACCCAGCACTGCTCACACTCCCACTGTGGTCCCCATGGTGCAGCACCAGGGACCCATGCATTCCTGTGGAGTCAGCACAGGTGGGAAGGGGGAAGCCCATGACCCTCACAACCTGCAGGCAGGGTGCAGGCAGCAGTGGCAGCTCCGGAGCTGCAACCTGCCCTGTGACACCATGCCCAGCTACAGCCCTTGCAGCCAGCCAGGCCGCTGGGTGACAGTGGCACTGCGGGGTGATTACCAATTGCAGCCTGGGGGAGGCAGAGGTGGGTACCACCTCTGTATTGTGGATTTTGGTGCTGCCAGAGTAGTGCCATGCCAAATCAAATCATGGTGGACGGTGGCATGTGGCACCAGCCGTTGCCAAGCCATGCCAGGCAACGCTGAGCCGTGCCAGGCCCATCCACCCCAAACCCCTCGTGCTGTGCCAAGCCACACTGTGCCGTCGGCAGGCGGGCGTGGGGGACGTGCCCCCTCTTGCCCATGGAGGGGCGGCGCGGCCGACGGCCCCCGGCACAGGGGCCCATCCCCAAGCCGGCCGCTCCCTGCGCTTGGGCGGCTGCCAGCTGGGGCTGCCTCGGCAGGCAGCTGGGAACGGCCCTGGAGCAACCGGCTGCGGAGCCGCCCCAGCCGCTGCCGAGCAGGCCCAACCGGCATGGCAGGCGGCAGCCGCCCCTGAAACCGGGAGCCAGGCAGTGCCGACCGCCTGGGATGCTGGCGCCAGCACCCATGGCCAAGCCCCCCGCCTTGGCAGGAGCCCATCCCACCACCAGTTGAGGTCCCCTCTGCCTGCTGAGGTGGGGGTGATCGGATTAGGGGTGATTAAACCATCAGGGCCCTGGGAGCCAACAGGCAGTGACAGCCCCCAGTGGGATTAGGCAGGATTAGCTGCAGGGGCAGGATTAAGCAGGGGGGCAAGTACCCCATGCCACAGCTTGGGCAGCTGGAGAGGGATGACAGGGATGTGGCACCTGACAAGGGTGGCCCAGAACCCCACAGACCTCGAGGACTGTTGCAAGCAATGGTCACAGGATAGGGTGGCACTGTGTCCTCCAACACTGCCTCCCCCAGTAATAGCACCAGGACAGACGCCCTTCTGCCCTGGTCCCCACAGCACCTCCAGCCCCACAAGACACCTGGGCACAGGACACTCACAAGACGGATGGCACACCCTGGCACATGCCTGTGGGGGTGTCTGGGTGCAGGGCAGCAGCTGAGACCCCGTCATATCCCAGCAGGTGGCAGGGTGCTCTGAGGGACGGGCACGGGCACCAGCCTCACCATGTCACAGTGCAGATGGACACAGCCTCAGTGCTGCCAATGCCACTGAAACTACCAGCAGAGGTCTGGTGAGGGAGTTGGGACCCCTGTGAGCAGCCACAGGACTCGATGCCAGCAGACATAGCTGTAGGGCTGGGGCAGAGTGGGGGCGAGGTGGTAGTGACAGGAGGGGGATTTTCCATCGCACCAAACCGCCCGTTACGGCTCCTTTGCTGACACCCCCACCCCCCCGCACATCCTCCTCACTGGAGCGAAGTCACATGCTGAGCGGGTGCTGCCGTCGAGGAGATCACCGCAGTGATAAGGAAATGGCAGAGGATGAGGTGTGAGGGGACTGGAGCCGCCCCCAACATTCCCTGGCTGGTGCTGGAGATGATGGCTGGGAGGGAGCAGGTGGTGATGCCCATGTCCTCGCCATGCCAGAGCTTTCTCAGTTACGTCAATGCTGTGGCTGGGCACATTTCGGCTGCAGCAGGCGAGCAGAACTGAGGAAGGGGGAATTGCTCCCCATGCTGAGCTAGATCCCATGCAAGGCGGGTGGCAGGAGGAACAATGTCTGCCCAGGTCACCCTGACATCCCTCTGCCAGCCCATGCAATCTGAAACAAGCAAGGCCAGGCTCCACCCACCTGCCAGCTCCCTCCATCCTAGGGGTCCAGCCACCCAGGCAGAGCCATGGACAGCGGGGTGGGGCCCCTGCAGCACCCATCCTGCATAGGCTGTGTCCCATGACACCAAGCCGGGATGGCACACTGGATGAGGACACATTGCCAGCCTGCACTGACTACTGGGCCACGGCTTGAGGATGGTGGATATTGTGAGGTCGAAAGGGGTGTCTAGGAGGGATCTCCTTAACTGTTCCCCCATGGGGAAGAAGGGCGGAAGTCCTGGGGAGCACATTCCGCACCCTGGGCTGCTGCCAAGTGCCCCTGCTTTCGGTCACAAGAGTCACAAATGCTGTCGAGGGACTTCACAGCCCCACTGGGGAGAATGAGTCACCCAGGAAGGGGAGCGCAGTGCAGTGTCACCCTGGCCCCTCACCCCGTGGGGCCCCTCACCTTTTGGGAACTAGGACCTGGACCCAGGAGTCTGGGCTGTGCAAGCACCCCACCCTGCTACTGCCCTGCCTGAAACCAGTTGGGAACAGCATGGCCCACAGTGTGGAGGGTGGTGGGGCTGCAGGGCAGGGGCTGTGCAGCCCCTCTGTCAGCCCAGCAGGGAAGGTGGTGGCCGGGGTCTGGCTCAGCTGGTGACCCTGTAGCAAGCACATGCCGGGGGTCCCATTGCTGGAGGAAGTGGGGAAAGCAGCACTACTCTTTCAAAGAAAAGAACGAGTAGAAACAAAAGGAAATGGTTTGGAGATGAAAGAGGATAAACAGTCCCCCATTCCACAGCACTGAGAGTGAGCCCCATGGCACTGCTCAGGCCCCCGATACTGGCCAGCTCACCCATAGAGCTCCCAGGCACAAGTGTGTGCTGCGCGGCCATGGAACATTCGCCATGGGCACAAGGGGGTTGGAGCGCTGTGGGCCAGGGCAGCCTCAGCGCCCAGCCGGCACCTGGGGCCCAGTGCCAGCCCGGCACGAGAGCTGCCACGGAGGCTGGGCACAGGGCATCCTTGTTAGAGCAGGACTGGCAATGTTGCCAGAGCCACTCCTGGCGTCTGTGGCAGGGACAAGAAGCAAAGTCCCCATGCTGCCCACCAAGCCTGTTGGTACCGTGCAGGTATCCTGCTGCCAAAGCCTACCCCACTGCCACATCCAGTTGTCTGGCATTGCCACTGTAGGGTGTGGGCCCAGCTCTGCCAAACCGAAGTGACCCAGATCTCACCACTCGTCCCATCCCATGCCACCCCATCCCATCCCACCAGCAGCAAGGGTGGCATAGGGCTCAGACAACACCAACATCCCACAGCTTGCTGGTGCCGAAGCAGCTAGCCCAGATCGCCTAGTGCCCAGTGGTACCACACCGAGTCCCCACCACCCTGGCAACTTCCTCCACCATAGCAGCCAGTGATGGCAGGGTGGGTGTGTAGCTCACCTGCCCCGTGTCCTGGCGTGGCTCAGCGCTGCGTCGCGGCCAGGCTGGCGGCCCGCGAGTGGCAGGGAGGGGAAAGCAGGGTGCTGTGTGAACTTGGCCCCGCTCCCCGCTGCACTTGAGCTCAGGATCCCACCTCAAAAGGAGTCGACGCCCACACCCCGGGTCACGCACCTCCCAGCCCCACTTCCCAGAACACACACGGCATTAACTCTTTGCGGCCGGTACTGCGCGGTGGGGCAGCAACCCGGAACCAGGCAGGGGGCATCCCCTGGCCTAGTCCCACGGGAGAAGATTCCTAGCACTGCCAGGACTGGCACCCCGTACCATAAGTATGCCTTCCCCGCTACTAGCATTGTCTCCAAGCCGTCTGCCCCTTCCCCCCACGCCGAGGCATCACACAGGCCCTCACCTTCTCCTCTGCCGCAAGGCAGGGCGCTGGGTGCTCGCCACTGGCCATGGCCAGCCTGGCCGAGCTGGGAGGGCGCCTGCGCTTGGAGGGAGCAGGGCAGGGCTCGCTGCAGCATGCTGCAGCCTGCCCAGCCAGCCCTGGAGCCACCCCCCGGTCCTATGGATTCCTGCCCTGCTCTACCCTTGGAGTGGGTTCCTGAGGTGCCATGGGGAATGTAGGAAGGAATGATGGTCCAGCTGGACTATGCTGCCTGATCCCCTCCACTCCCTGGGCAGGGGCACTCGTGGGCTTCCCAGCCAGGCTGCAGATTCACGCAATCCCCCCCATAATTACACCCTCTGTGTCCCCAGCTAAACAGCAATTAGCAGCCTGGAGAGAGCGCCCCACACCCCACCACCAGCACCAGCACCCGCCCAGGCCACCCACGCCAGACTGGTCAGGGGCACCTGCACTGCAGCACCCTGGCATGGCCCTGGATGGGCTCCAGGCACCATGCTGGTGCTGTCTGTAGCAGGAGGCCAGGCAGAAAGGGGAAGAGCCCCATACCAGCTGGACAGTAAAGGGCTTCTGGTGTCAGCAATGCTGATGGGAAGAGCTGGGTTGTGCAAGAGCCTGTGGGCAGGCAGTGGAGATGGCAGGTGGGCAGAGGGGCATCGCCAACCCCAACCCTAACCTCTCCCATCACTGCGGTGCTGGGTAGGAGCCAGCTGTGGCACCACGAGTTGCCCAGTGCCTGGAGTGCAGGCAGCACACAGCCAGTGGCAGCAGGGTTGTGGGCAGCGTTGTCCACCACACTGCCACAATGCCCCAGGCTGACCACCTGCCTCAGTTGGGGGCACAAAAGAGGGCACAGCCCTGGACAGCATCTGTGAGAGGGAGGGAGGAAGGACGGGAGGGAAGGAGGAGGGATGTGGCACCTGCTGCCAACCCTTCCCCTGCCCTTTGTTCCCCATAAAGGAGGGGAATGGCGCCAGTCCCCCCTGGCCCAGGTGTGCCAGGTGCTAAGGGCGGGAGATAAGGTGGGCGAGGCGGGCAGGGAGGGGCATGGCACAGCATGGGCACGCAGCCCTGAGTCAGGGTTCCTACTGGTGGCCAGGATGGGGTGAGTCACCGTGGGCCCCCCCACCCTGGGGGTGTCGCAACCACCCAGGCGCTGGCCACAAACTGCTGCTTGCCCTGGCTGGGGGGCATCAGGCTGCCTACCTGGGGGGCCAGGTGGGAAGGCGCTGGCCTTTGGGGAAGATGGGCTAACCTCCATCAGTCCATCCATCCATTCATCCTCCTCCAAGCTACGTCCTTGCCTTGGCCAGTGGCACCCTGACCAGTGTCACCAGTGATGGGACATGGCCTCATCCCAGCTCCTCTCCCAACAGCAGGATGGGCAACCCCATCTCCTGCATCATCTCCTGACACAGAGCAGTACCCTGACCTGCCAGGACATGGCATGCCATGGCCACATGCTTGCCCATGACAGAGGTGGCCAAGGACATGTGGCCTCTGTGTGTCACCTCTGGCCTTCCCAATGTGCCAAGGAGATGGCAGAAACACGCAAGGGAGAAGGAAGGAAGGATTCCAAGAAGGAAGAAGGGAAAAAGGGAAGAAGGGAAGAAGGGAAAAAGGGAAGACAAGGCTCTGCCAGCCACCAGCCTGGGACAGTCAGGCTCACCTACAACTGGGCCTGCTTGCTGGCCTCAGGGTGAGCTGGCTCTGGAGTTGCTGGCCCTGCAGCACAGTCACGGGAACCCCTTGGAGGGCAGCCAGACCCCCTGGGTCCCACTGTGCTGCACAGCCCCAAGAGGCCCCCCAGCTGGTGGCACCTCCTACTCAATATGCAGGGTTCATGTCCTCACAGCACCTCGGGGACTGAGCATCGCCAGTGGCACAGGTTGGGTCCCAGTGCTCCATCCTGGCACCAGGGTGGTGCTGGTCCTGGTGGGGTCACCTGGCAAGGACAGTGCCAGCCCACAGCCCCCCCCTCCACATCCTCCAAAATAGCCCGGCTTCCGCCCCCACGGCAGCTGCCTGCTGCCAGCTCCCCGCTGCCCACGGCTGATCCCAGGGAGGGAAGGGGGGCAGGCGATTCTAATCCCCCCCGGCCCCCCCGAGCCCACACAGCACTGACAGTGAGGCCGTGCCCGCCACAGTCACTCCGACCCACATAGCACCCCTGATGAGACCCCAGTCAGCCCTGCACAAAGGGCAGGGCAATGGCCCCACGGCTCCACAGTGCAGCAGGCACGGCAGCCTCTGTGGAGACCCTCGGTGAGCCATGGAGCTTTCCCCAAGGCCCACCACGATGTCCGCACCACACCGGATGCCTTGTGCCGCCCAAGCAGGATCCAAGGGTCTCTTACCTTCTTTTCCTTGGCCCTGCAGAGGGGCTGACAATCCTCCTGTCCACCCTTGCTATGACTCCAAGCCCTGTGCCCTGAGGGTTGCCCATGGGAGGGGAATCAAAGCAAAACTGCTGGGGTGCCACTGTACCTAACAAATGTCAGCCAACACAGCCACACTCTCCACTCTGCTGGTGTTCACTGTAGGCAGGCTTGGCACCCACCCTGCCTGGGACCCAGTGCCTGGCAGCAGGGCCCCCTTACCCACTACCCACTCCACCTGCTGCCCATGGGGCCTGGCATGACAGAGACAGCTGGGCAGAGTGGAGCACGCAGTGCAACCAAGGCTGCGGGGAGAGGCCAGAGCTCACCTGACCTACTTCTCCTTCCGCATCACCTGCTTTCATTTTCCCTCACCCTGGCTGGTCCCCCCTGCCTGCCCATGGCTCTATCAAGTCATGCCACTAACGCTGGGGATACAAGTCACTCAGGCACCATGACTCCCACTGCACCATCCCGCATGTCAAGTGACCTCCCCAGCCCTGGGCACGGAGCACGGCCGGGTGCACTGGCCACAGCCCCAGCACCACCACCACCCCCCCCGCCTGCACGGCTACCCAAGCACCATCTTCCTGGCACGAAGCGAGTTTGACGGGTCTCAGCCCAGCCCCTCGCCAGGTCCTCTGACCGCCCTGGGGCTTGCTGGGGTGTGGACATGCAGCTCTCGGGGCATGTCAGGGACGCCAGTGCTGCCACGGGGAGCCAGGCGGGCGCCAATCCTCCAGACGGGGCGGACGCTCCCACCGGCACCCTGCCTGCTCCCGCCGTGGAGTTACCATGGGAAGGCAGTGCTGGTGGCGCAGGGGGAGCGCAGGCTCCCGGGGGCTCCCGCCAGCAGCCCACATGCTGCCAGGAGAGATTTCTCCCTGGTTTCATCATCCGCTGCCTGCGCTGAAGGAGAAGTTCCTGCTTCACGCACGGGGCAGCAGCCACCCCTCGAGGGCTGGGGTGCAGCAGGGGCTGTGCTGGTCCCGCACCCCGTGCTGTGCCCACTCCGCCCCCGTGTGCTCAGGCCTGTCGCACTCGTGCCACGTGTGCACTGAGGGTGCACGGCACCAGCTGGCAGAGACGCGCTGCCATAGCCTCGGGCTCAGCACCACAGCGCTGGGAGAAGCCTGCGTCCAGGCAGGGGGTCTTGGAGGGTCCCCAAGACTCAACACTGGTATGCCCCCCCCCCCCACATCTGTCACCTCCCCGTCCTCACCTCTGCACCCATCCCCAGCATGGGCACTCCAGCCCTGCTGCCCCGCTCTCCGTTGCGCCAGTTTCCCCTTCTCCATGCACCCACTTTAAGTTCCTGAGCTCAGTCCCTCCCTCCGCACCCAGCACCAGCATCACCACTGAAGCTTTGAGTCGCCGCAGCTGTCGCTTGCCTCCGGCAGTGCCGAGGATTCCAGACTGCTCCCCGCTCCTACTAGCCCAGCTGTGGTGGGGCAAACCGAGGTACGGTGCGACTCACCCCACGACAAAACTGGCACTATGTCCCCTTGCCAAGCGAACGCAGCCACGGATCGAAGACGGCTGTGGCCCAAGACGTGGATCTGCTCCGGCGGGAGGGTAAATACCGCACCCCGCCCCGGGCAAACAGCGGCCGGGGGCAGCCAGCCAGGGGGACGAGGACAGGTACGGCAGGGCTGGGCGCACGGGGCAGAGTCCACCGGTGCTTGGCAGGTGCTACCACGACACCGATCCCAGGGGACCACTGCACAGCCGAGCAGAGGCACCCACTGCTGCTGCCAGTGTGTCAGGTCCGGGGCTCACCAGCGTGGCACAGCATGCTGGGACACTGGGATACCCTCCAACTCTAACAATATCGCTGGAGAAGGGGCTCCCTGAGTTGCCTTCCTCCTGCAACGGTGCCGTGCCTACCCGGTGCACCAGGCATGCCGCCAAGCTGCTCACCATGTTAGGAAGGGCGGGGTGGCAGCACCCAGTCACCCGCGGGAGACCTGCGGGGGACCCTGGCTGGATGGAGCAGCACCGCAACAGGACCACAGCGGAGCCTTGGCAGCTGCCCCGGCACGCAGCGGGCACCTGCCGATGTCACAGATTTCCCGCAGCCCCGTGCGCAAGGGAGCGGGAACAGCCCACGAGTGACACCCCCCGCCCCACGGGCGACGTGTCCACCGGCTCCGGCGGCGGGCGGGGACAGAGGGGCCGTGCAGTGATCCGCACGCCGACCGTACCCACCCGCTGCCAGCAGCATCCCAAATCAACGCGACTCACCGCAACCGGGCGGCAAAAGCGGTCGCCGCACCGGTCCCCGTCCCGATCCCGCTGCCGGAGGGTCGGTACCTCGGCGCAACCGTCGTCGGTGGGTCTGTCCACTCCCACCCACCGCCGCTCACCTGCGCGCCCCGCCCGAGCCACAGACCGGTCCCGGAGCCACAGCCCCGCCTCCGCCTTCACCTGCCGCCGCCGCGCCCCGCCCGCCCCCCGGCCACAGCCACCGCCGCCGCCGCCGCCGCCGCCGCCGGGGCTCCAGGAAGCGCCCGCCCCCGCCTGCTCATTGGGCAGCGCGCCGGCGGTCACGCGTGCGATTGGTGGGAAGCCCCGCCCATCAGCCTCGCCACACCCCCTCGGGAGGGCGGGGGTCTTGCGGGCCCCCGGGACCGGGGTGCGCGGGTGGGGGGCAGCTGAGTCAGAGGCGGGGAACGGGATCGGGCGCGAGTCGGTCCCTCCGGCCTGGGGAGGAGAGCATAAGACGGCCCCGGTGCGGCCCTACCGGCGCCGAGCGCAGTGCCAGGCGCCGAGCGCGCCCCGCCCGCTGCGGCCGCCGAGTGTCGGGGCCGGCACGGCACTGCCCGCTCCGCCCCGCGGACACGGGGGGCGGGGAACCGGTATGGGGGGGGTAAGAACCGAGAAGTGTGCACCGAGGGAGACTTTCGAGTGCTGGGCACGGGAAAGCGTGCATAGGGTGAGGTAGGGGGGTGGAGAGTCGGACTCGGAGGGCCGGGCAATGAGAAGCGGGCACCGGGGTACTGGAATGCCGGGCACGGGGGCACGGAGAGCTGGACACGAAGAGCGTGGCATCGCGGGGTGCCGGTCGGGCTGGGGCGCGGAGAGGCGCGGCGCGGGGAGCAGCCCCCTGGTCTCGGCGGCGCTGGAGCGGGGTGCGGCGGCCCCCAGCGGGGTGGCTCCTTCGCAGGTGCTTGGGCGCGGGCCCCGCGCAACCTGTTTGGCCGCTGCCGGCTCAGGGAGGCAGCGGCGGCCGCGGGGTTCACCTCGGTTCACCCCGGCCCCCCCGCGCCTGGCTCGGAGCGCGGCCACTGCCCGGCGCTAGCGGAAAGTGTGAGGAGCCACTGCCGCTCTGGGGCTGCCAAGGCAAACACGGCCCCGCGCAGACGTTATGTCAGTGGGTGGGGGGGCCGCGCCGGGGCACCGCGCCGGGACCGAGAACGGGACCCTCCACCCCTTCGCCAAGCCCCCGGTACCGGGCACCTGCTGCCGCGCCTCGCCCAGCCGCCCGCTTCGCTTCTCCCAGCTCCGTCCCTCTGACCGTGCTCCTGCATCCCCGTCGAGGGTACCGGCCCGCCAGGCTCCGGGCTTCCGCAGGGCGGAGGGGAGGACCCGCACAACCACCTCCCCCTCCGCGCCGCTGCCACCGACCCCCGGCTCCATCGCTCCCCGCCCGTCCCCTCGGGCCACGGCTCGCCATAGCCACTGCGCTCTGCTACTGCCTGCGGCTGTGCTCCCGGTGTCTCTCTCTCCCTGCTTCTCTCGAGGCGACTCCGACGGTGCGGTCGAACTCACCTCTCGCGGCGGGGCCAAGACCGGGGCCGGGCAGGGGCCGCGGGCTCAGCCGGGCCGGCGGCGTGGCAGGAAGGACCGGGTGGTCATCGCGGCCCGCTGCAGCTGCCTGCAGAGGGCACTGCTGGTTCCCGGAGCCGAGCCCCGTGGGCGGCACTGATACGCGTAGGGACACGGGCGTCTCTTGGTGCCGGTGGCACCGTTTATTTGGGTTAAAAACAGCAGACACGACTCAGGCAATCGGAGATCCCCTCGGCTGCACTTTCTCGGGGCTCCCCCATGCTGCCCGATCGGTTGAAGGACCTCCCCCGGGCCTGGGACCCATCTTTGGTAACTCCGAACCAGTCCCCACCCCAGGGGTGCTCACCTGCCCCCGCCCCTCATTCGACCTGCCCCACACCTATCCAGATGCTCTAACCTGCCGCACATTCCAGCTGTGCTCACTTGCCTCACCCCCCCGCAGTGCCAGTTCACTCCTATTCCTTTGTCTACAGTGACATTTAGGCCCACAGCTCCCCCCTCCTCCCCACTCCCTCCCACCTCCCTTCTCTCCTGCTCCTCCTGTCCCCACCGGCTCTGGCTGCCACCCCCCAGGCCTGGCCCTGACAATGGGGACTTCTGCCTCATTCCTCGCTTTTTTTACAAAAATAGATAAATTAATATAAACTTGAACATTAAAATAATAAAATTAAAAGAAAAAAAAAAAGATATTAAATATAGCGCCCTGTGTCACTGAGAGCCCCATGGCTGGGGGAAGCAGGTGCTGGCAAAGTGGTGAGCCATGCAAGGGGGGGCACTGCATCCAGCCAGCACTCAGACAGACAGTCCCCAGAGCCAGGACAATCCTGCTGCAACACAGCCCTGGAAGACACAGGCTGGGGTACAGTAGAAGGGTCCCCCAGCTTGTGAACTTGCTTTGGGGGAGCTCCCTGGCATCCCCCATCAGCCCCAGCCTCAGCGTGGCTGGTTCAGCAGGACCTCAAGCCAGCATGGGCAGGAGGTGATGAACTGCCGGGAGTAGCAGGGTCCCCAGCCCTTGGCAAAGCTGATACGGATACTGTGGGGATCGCAGGGTCCCTCTCTAGGTAGCTGCCAACCCTCTCTGTCCCGTGCCCACTGAAAATCGAACACCTTTGCCGAGTAGCCAGGCAGCACCTTGAGGACAGTGAGCCTGCAGGCAGCAGGGGGGCTCAGGGTGGGTGAGCTGACGAAGATGGGGTGCTCGCTGCGGTTGTACACCCAGACACCACCTGGCTCCCGGCTCAGCAGCAGCCCCCGGCCAATCTTGCCACGTGCTCGCCGGACAGCACAGCTGCGGTAGGCAGCTGGCAGCTGGGCCAGGCAGAACCCGCTGCCCCATGGCAGCTCACAGAAGACGTTCACTGATGCCTCGTGCACGGCGTAGAGGCGGCCCACGCGTGTCCGGTACTCCCAGTAAGCCAGTTTACACCAACAGCCATCCTTGATGGTGCTCCATGAGAGGCTGGTGTCTGGCAGGGGAGAGCAGAGCTGTCAGCACCAGGACATGACTGAGCCAAGCAGCTGGATGAGCCAAGGGGAGTGGGCACAAGAGGGCATATGAGGACAGATGGATGGACATGGCGCAGCAGGGATGCCTTAGCACGGGGTCCTGCACTGGGTGTGAGTCTCTGGAGCTGTTCCCAGTCCCCAAGTACCATGGTGAAGAGATGGGGGAGGGCTGTGAGGAGGGTTGGTCCCTGAGTGCAGGGGAAGGTGGGGCTGTGGTAGCTGGTGGCCTTGGTGGCCAGCAGCCAGGCGGGAGCTGGGGCTGTGTGCGTCAAGGCACATTGTGTGTGTCCCCATAGGCAGTGCTTCCTCCAGCAGGGAGCCCGGCACTGCCAAAAATAACAGGAGCTTCGGGGGGGCGAGGGGGGGGTGTGTCTGGGCCCAGGCTGCTCCCCCAGCAGGAACCCCTCATCCTGTGTCGGAGTCTTTTCCTCCTGCTGGGGGTGACTGCTGGCTCCATTCCCTGATTTTCATGTTCTGTCCCTTCCAACCTCTGCTTCTGACTCAGGGGTTCAGCCCTGCCCAGTGCCCTTCTGCCCGCTGGGTGTGGCAGAAGATTGTGGAGTGTGGTGGGCCAATCTTACCGCACCAGTCCCCACCGTTGTAGCTGAACTCCAGGAGCTGGGTGCTGGGGTGTTGGGGCTCATCTGGCCAGGAAGGCCCACAGGATGCCTTCAAGTAGGGGGGTGGCGGGGTTTCTGTAGGGGAGAGAGAAGGAAATGAGAGGCTGGGACTGCATCCTGCCCCCCTGGAGCCCTGAGCCACTCCCAGAGGGCAGGGGTCAGAGCCTGAGTGGGCAAAGCAGCCTCCGGTGTTGCCACCAGCACTCACCAGGTACAGCCAGGCGGCTGAAATGATGGGGGTTGCAGCACAGCACAGCCAAGTCCCCACAGGACCCCTGGCCCCCAGCACAGTAGCAGAGGTGCTTAAGCTCATGGGACTGGTGGAGGTCAGGCCAGCGGAAGAGGCGACAGAGCAGGACTTGAGGGGGGAGTCCCTGCTTGACCCCTCGTGGGTCCCCCCGTGGTGCCAAAACACAGCCAGACTCCCAGGCGCCTCGGCTCTCCACCACCTGCACCAGCAACTCCAGCTCCTCGTCCTTGAGCTTCTTGAAGAGGGCATTCGCTGCTAGTTTGAGGGCACTGGGGCCATCCTCGGGGCTGGCTGCTCCACAGCGCTGCCGCCACAGCCTCCGCACCAGCCCAGCACGGCGTGAACGGAACATGGGGTGGTCGTGGGGACCACCTGCAGGATGGAGACAGGCATCACCTCCCGTGCCCTGAGAGGGCTGTGGCTCCAGGGGATCCCAGTGGGGACCCTGCTGCATCCTCCTGTGTCCTCCCAGATCCCTGGCAAGGCTGCTTTGCCTGGGTTTGCTGCTGCCATCCCCACCATGAGGTGGGGTGCCACTTCAAGGAGTACTGGCATCCCCAAGGTCACATCAGACATGACCCCAAAAAACCACCCCCACTGCTGGAGAACCTGCCTGTGCTGAGACAGCGAGGGCAGGGGTCCATATGCGCCTGCCTACAGCACCCTCCCACTCCCCTCTCACCCCCTATCACGGGGCTGGGCAAGGGGTCCCTGCAGAAGAGGGTCTCACTCACGGTGGGTGGCGGAGGTGGGTGACAGGCTCCGGGGCACTGCATGGGGCTGTGCTCTCAGGGCGGCCGGCACTGCTCTGCCCGCCACGCGTCACTGCCTGGACTTTTTCCTGTGCTAGGACGCTCTCCCCTCCCCCGGACCTTCCCGTTTGGGGAATTCATTGGATTTCCCTCATCCCAGCCAGCCCTGGGGCTGAGCCATCGCCAGGGCCACCACATCAGGGCTACCAAGGCAGGACGTGGCAGATGTCAGATGCGTGGGCTCCAGTGGTCAGGGTTGCCCAGCACCATGCTACCAAGGCAGCTGGGCACAGCCAGGAGCCCAACCAGCACCACAGACACCAGTGCACAATCACAGGGCAGGGTCCAGCTGAATAGCTCATCTGGGCAGGGGGAAGCCATGAGGCACAGTGGCAGGGCACCGTTGTGGCAGACCCCATCCCTACTCGCGTCCTCACAGGGTTCACTGCAAGGACCACCTAAGCCCCTCGTGGCATCTCGGGCCAGGGTTCCTGTTGCCCCTCAATTCTTGACCTGGCCAGGCCCTCCCCCCCCCGCGAGCAGTGGGTGAGGGTGGGAGCCTGCTCCACAACAAAGGAGCTAATGTAAACGGGACCCTTATCCCGCGCCAGGCCAGGCTTCCTGCTCCCGACTTCCCGCAGAGATAAGGGAGGCCACACTGGCGCCAGTGCTGCTGCCGAGGATGGGGCGTGCAGAGCTTCCCCTGTGCTGGGACCAGGCACCAGCACAGGCAGCAATGGGGCACGGTGTGCTCATGGACCCACAGCTACCCCCATACTAGCATAGGGCACCACTCTGTTCCAGGCTTGTACAGATAGAACTAGAAAATAGGGATCTGACTCAGTCTCTGTGGAAAGCATTTCATTAAGTGTAGCATCTTCTGATGCCACCTGACCTCAAATATCTATTTCACCAAATGCAGACATATTTTTGGCCAGTCTCCTTCCTACCATGAGAGTTATATGCAACACATACAACAGGAGACTTTCAGAAGACTGGAAGATTTAAGTAATAGAGGAGAAAAAGCACAGGGCAAAGAAATTAATTATGAATTTTGTATGTTATTATTATTTATATTCACCAGAATTCTTTACAGATAACCATATTAAATGGAGCGTGGCACCACATTTGCTGCAGCTCCCAGCCAGGCTGGGCCCATTGAAGATATTTTGCTCTTGCTGCTTCCCACAAACTGAAACAGGAAATGGCCAGGACTGGAGGAGCAGGCAGGAAATGCAGGCAGAACCCCAGCTCCCCACTCTTGCCTCTTGGCCCCAAGGGATGTGGGGACCCTCAGTCCTGGACATGGGCAAGGGGTCCACTGGAGTGCCTTAGTGCTACCCAGGGCTAGGATTGGAAGGTTTGGGGACACACACAGACAGACACATTCCCAGAGCTCTGCCCAAACAGATGCAGCCAGTCAGGTTTATTGGGGTCTCTGGTCAGGGGGAGCACAAGCTGGAGCAGAGTTTCAGTGCCAGAGGTCCATCAACTCCATCAGCATAGGGTAACAAGCACAGTCCTGGGGAGGGGAAAGAGGCATAGGGGGTAACAACCCACTAACCAGTACCAAGGCCACACCCTCTCAACCCCCAGAACCGCCACAGCCAGGCTCTCTGCTTCCCCTCAAGCACCACAGCCAGGCCCTTTTCCCTCCAGGAGCACCATGGTTGGGCTCTGCCACCCCCAAACACCACAGCCAGGCCCCTGTCATGTTCCAAGCACCACGTCAAGTGAAGCTGCAGGCAGGTAACTCACCCACAGCACCAGGGCAGGCAGGGGCTGACGGGGTCCTGTGACACTAGGGGGGCCCTTCCCTAGTCCAGCAGCTCACGGATGCACCAGCTGCAGAGAAGGAGGTAGATGCATTCCCGCAGAAGCCGCAGCAACCAAGAGCCCAGGCGCAGCCCCAGGGAGGTGGCAGTGGGTGCTGGCAGTGCCAGTGCCTGTACCCGTGCCACTTGCCGGGGAGCGCCCTGCAGACAGGCTGCCATGGTCCAGAAGAGGTGCATGGCCCATGAGGAATCAGCAGGATCTGACACGGTGGGAGAGGCAGCAGTGGTGACATGCCCTGGCAAGCACTGGAACCTGCTACATTCTCCACATTTCCAAAACTTCCCCAACAGTGGGTGCAGGGAGGGGGCAGAACCTGGGGACCCTTTTGTTCCTCCCACTCCTGCCCCATGGAGCCCTCTGGGCTCAACAAAGCCACGTGCCAGTGCAGTGCAGACTGCAGCAGGTTTATTTACTGCTGACAGGCAGCAACTTTATTCAATGTCACTCTCAGCAGCATTCCAGTGGAGCCTCCCAGAGCGTGGTCCTTCACTGGCGGGAGGTGCGCTCCTCTTCCTCATTTTCCAGCTCGTAGGCAGGCCGGTAGCCCTCCCGGCCCTGAGCATCAGTATAGCGTAGTGCTGGGTTCTTCTGTGTGTTGGTCATGCTCCCCAGGGATGTGTAGCTGCAGAGGGAAGAAGCAGCTGCAGGACTGCACCCAGGGGCACTGCCTGTGCATATGAGAAGGGCAGCACTGGGCACTCACCCTTTGTCATAGAGGATACAGTAGGGGACAAAGAGCTTGCGCAGGAACTCCCAGATGTCCCGGTAGGTCCAGTCCTGCAGGCAGAATTGGGCAGGGATTGAGGCAGAGGCAAAAGGCTGCTCCCTTGTCTCCCAGGGAAGCAAGTCAGACTTTCCTAGAGAGTACCTGGGATAGCCAGATGGTCATCAGAGCACCACTGTACCTCCCAGCACTTCCCCAAACACAGGGAAATCCCCCAGCAGGCAAACAGCACCCAGCAGCCTTGCTGCAGCAAGGGGCACCCACAGCTGCACAGTGGTGCAGCAAATACTCTGAGAGAGTGAGAATTGTGAGAGAAGCTGTCCAGGATAGGGGTGGATCACTGCTGGTTCCCAGCCCCATCGGGTCCCCCTGCCAAGCCCTGTAGCAACGGTCCCAGCCCCAAAGCAGGTAGAGGCCACATACCAGCAAGGGGTTCACCCGCATGTAAGGGGGCCAGCCGGGGTCTGTCACACACATGGGGGTCAGGGTGCATGAGTAAGGGTCCGTCCGCCGTGTTCCCATCAGGACAGCCTCCAGCTGTGGCTGCTGCTCCTTCAGATGGGCCAGCGCCTCCCGGATGGAGCCCTCCACAGTGCAGAGCTGGACCCCATACCTGTGCAGGCAGGGCGGGCAGCTGTCTGCAGGCTGCAAGCAACACTGCACACCCTCTGTGCAGCAGCCCACCCCACTCTGCCTCCTACCTCTGGACTGTTGCCTGAATGAACTGCTCCATTTCAGGGAACGGCGACACAATGCGAATGTAGAGCACCTGCAGCCTCTCCTGCCTGGCTGGGAACCGCCTGCAGAGAGACCCAGTGCAGCTGGACTCTGACCAATGGCAACTGGAGGCAAGGTAGCATCCAGTCCCCACCAGCTAGACCCCAGGAATCCACACATTGCCTCAGGGTGGAGCAAGCAAGAGCCCCAGAGCCCTGGCCAGAGTCTGCAGGACCCCTCAGCCTTGCCCCAGCCTGGAGCCCCATGCGTGGGTACCTCTGCACAGCAGCATGGACGAGGTGCAGCAGGGCTGTGCAGTCCTTGCCCCCGTTGAAGCCCACGCAGAGCTGGACCAGGCTGTACTGGTCCAAAGCCTCCTCGATGGTTCGCAGGGCTGCTGCCACCTTCTGCCCCAGGGCCGAGCCTGCCAGGACAGGACAGTCGGTGCCTGCCCAGCTCATGTTGCCTCAGCACGGCCCCAGGGCCTATGGCACTTCACCCTCTGGATACATCTCATACACAGGTACATAGCAGAGCCATTGTTGGCACCACAGCCAAGAGCTTGTTCAACCCAGAGATCTGGGCTACAACATGACAGGGATCCTGAGGGCACTGGGGAACTGTGGCGCTGCTGCTACTGCTGTACACTGTGCTCTCAGACCCTGCCACCACCAGCCCTGAGGTTACAGGTCCCATTCCCACCTGCATGGGATGAAGCCCACTGCAGCTGCAGCACCCCTCATGCCTCCCAGCACAATACAAGTCAAGCTCTGCTCCCAGGCTGGTGTTCCCATTGCCCCAGCCCTGACAGGCTGCATAGGAGAAGCATGGAGGCATAGAGCTGTGCTGCAGCACCTCTTTGCAGTACCTGACTCAGCCAGGCCATAAACCTTCACAGCTGCTGTAGAAACACAGTCTGTCACCGACGGCACAGCAACACCCGGCGGCAGCTCCCTCATCAAGAAGCAATACGCTTCCTCCAGGTCCTGCTCCGACTCTGAGTCCAGGGTCAGCTTCACACGGTAGTAGTTGCTGGTCCAGTCTGGGTAGGAACCGAAGCTGACACGGCCTCGGAAGGTGGCATCAGCCCTGTCCAGCATGGGCGCAATGAGCATCTCATCGGATGCCACATAGATGGTGCGGGAGTGGAAATGGGTCTGTTTGCTGCGAAAGAGGTGAGCAAGGCCATCCAGGGCACGCTCCATCAGTGCCGGGATGCCAGGGAAGATGTAGACATTGCGCACACTGACTAATGGGTACTTGAACGTGTTGCCAGTGCCATAGTTGAGGCGGGAGGACTCGGGGACACGAGCTAGCTTCATCTCTGGGCATTGCACCTCCGTCTTGCCAAAGAACTTGTGCACCAAGGCCATCAGCTCGGGGTGGAGGACGACCTTCTCCCCAAAGGCCTTAGCCACAGCCTCGAAGGTCACATCGTCGTGCGTGGGGCCGATGCCCCCGGAAGTCAGCACGTAGGTGAAGCGGGCAGCAAAGGCGGCCACCTCACTGGCGATGGCCTCCACGTCATCGGGCACCACCGAGATCCGGGCGACACTCACACCAAGGGCACGTAGTCGCCGGCACATGAAGAAGGAGTTTGTATCCTGCGTGTAGCCCTGAAGGGAACGGAGACCATGACGGCGGGGTGCCCCGACCCCAGGCGCAGGCCCCAGCCCACCCCACACCCGCAACCCAGGCCCACCCCCAGGCACCTTGAGAATCTCATCGCCGATGACGATGATACCGGCGGTGTTGGCGGAACCTCGGGCCACCGCCGCAGGGCCCGAAGCAGCCATGGGGCGACAGGCGGCAGCGCTCAGGGGGCCGCCCACTCGCCCCGTAGCCCGCAGCGCAGCCCGCAGCACCCTCCACATGGAGCCGCCCGGCCAGCCCCGCACACCGCGACACCGCCCCGCGCGCTCACGGGCCGGCCCGCACGTCCGTCAAGCGGCCTCGCCAGCACCCATTGGCCGGGAGGCGGGACCTGCGGGGACGGAACCATCGCGGGGGGACGGGGATATCGGCCAGCTCCATCTCCGTGGCCGTGCCCGGCGGACCAGGGCACGTGCGCCCCCGTCTCCGGGGGGCACGGGGAGGGTCCGTCCGTGTCCCCCCCAAGACTCCGAGAAGCCCTCCTCGGGAACCCACGCCGGACAGACTCCGCGGTACCGGGACCCCTTCGCCCTCCATCCTGCACTACAGACACAGGGTTCACAAACATAACTTTATTGAAGCTTTGGAGGCATCGCAACAACGGGAAGGGCCTCCGGAACCAAGGCCGAGTCGCCAAAACGGCGCCCAGGCAGTATCGAGGGTCAGGGGGTGAAGCCCCCGAGAAATGTGGAGAAGAAGGAGGAGGAAGGTGCTTGCTCAGCGTGGAAGGACTGGGAGCTTCGGCACACCAGGAACCACTCACTTTTCTGGCTTCTTGGGCAATGGCCGTCGGAAGAGTAGAATGTGGGGCTCTGCGGGGCAAAAGAGAGGGTCAGGCCGGGCCCCCTGGGCGCCACCCGCTCCCCCGCGGGGCTCACCTGGCTCGTGGATCATGTAGTGGACCCAGCCCTGGCTCTGCTGCACCCCCAGGTTCCGCCACTCCGACTCCGACAGCAGGTGGGTCTTGGGCACCAGCTTGGCGATGTCCTTGGGCAGCATCACGTGCCTGCGCCCCGCATCTCTCAGTAAACACCGGGGCACCCCCAACAACCCCTCATTCCCCAAGACGGAGATTCCCTACCGGGGAGCTGTTAACGGGACGAGCACCGTGACCCCATACACAACCCTGATCGGGACCTCCCGTGTTACCAGGATAATTCCCCTCTTTCTTCACTAGAGAGCCATGACTCGCCTACCACTCCTCTCCCACTAGCGAGCCGTTAATGGCCTCTCCACCCCACCGTTTTACGTTATCGAGGCATTTCCCTCCCTCGACCCAATAAAGCTTAACCGAGATCCCTGCATCTTTATCAAGCAGATGTTACCGGGACCCCTTCCCACTCCGTACCGGTACTCAAACTCCTCATCATCGTACTTGTCGGAGTAGTAGATCTGTTTGTGCGCCATGACAGGCCCACGGTGCCCTCCCTCGGCGGCCGTTGGCGCCCCCGCCCCCCGCGGCGCTTTCAAACACCGCCGCCTCACGCGTCCATTGGCTGGCGCTGCGCCGGAGCGGGGCGGGGCTGTTGCCCATTGGCCGAAGCGCGCGCGACGCGGCGAGGCCGGGGCGCCGCTTCCCGCGGGCCAGGCGCCGTCCGTGATTGGCTCGTGAGTCACGTGACATGGGGCGCAGCGGGGCCACGCCGGAGGGGCGCGGGCCGGAAGTGAGTGGCGGCGAGTGTGGCGGGGGGGGGGGCGGGGGGGGGGGGGGGGGGGGGGGGGGGGGGGGGGGGGGGGGGGGGGGGGGGGGCCGGGGGAGCGGGGGCGCGCGAGCGCGGGACCGGCGGAGAGCGGCGTGAGACCCGCGCGTGACCGATGGTGCCCGGTGAGCGCGCGCCGGCCGGGGCGGTGAGGGCGCGCGCGGATGGAGGCGGAGGGCGGGGGGGGACCCGCGCAGGGCCCGGGATCCAAGGCCGGGCCCCCGCGGTGCCCCCGCGTACGCAGTGTCGCCGGACTGAGGCCGCGTCGCTCGCCGCCGCCGCCTTCCGCGGAACGAGTTGGGGTTCTGCTACAGCCGCCCGCGAGACGCCGCCGCTCCCTGTGCTGTGAGGGCCGAGCCGCCCTTCCCAGCTGCCTCGTTTGCCTAGCGTGAGGGAGCCTAGCTGCGGGGCAGGCCCGGACCCTCCTGTATGCGGCCCGACGGGGGCTGGAGGGGCCGGTACCGTGCTGTGCTAAGGTCTTGGGATGACCCACTCGACTTGGCGGCTGGTTGCGTGTGCCTGGGCCTCGGGCTTGCATCGCCCCACCCTGTGCTATACACGGGAAGGAGGTGTAGAGCTGTAGCGGTGCTCCAGGGTCTGGAGAGAACCCCGAGCCCCAAGACTGGCATGACCTTCAGCAGGGACGGGGCACCGGCTGGGTGTAGAGGGTTCCTCGGCCTCTGTGGTGCTGGAGTCTGCCCTCCTGTCATCCTGCCTTCTGTGCTTCAGAGTAAGGCAGCAGTGAGTACCTGGAGCCTAAATAACTGTTGTGAACGGGTACGTGTTCCCCCTTGCAGATCTGTGTCTGCCCTCCAGCAGTGTGTTGTGTCCATCTGTTCTTGCTTCTCCTCTTGAATCTCTTAGATGGGGTCATCCACACAGATTGTAGACCATGGACACGGGTTCCAAGGAAACGTGACCTGGGCCCTGCTTGCCACGTTGGCGCTGCAGAAGTCTTGTGGGCAAAGGACACTTCTTGTCAGTGCTTGTCAGGTCTGTCTTGGCGTCAGCCTGCAACAGGGGCTGAAGATGCCATCTCTTCTCCGCCAAGCGGGGCATGAGGATCCACCCACTGCCCTTTGGTGGGGGAATGCCTTGCCTGGGCTACCCTGGAGCTGTGCAAAGCAGCGTCCCATCCTCAGGAGGGACACATATGGCCTTCGGTAAGGCTGAGCATTCTGGCTCCAGGTCCAGATGCTCCTTCCCTGCCACCAGCCTCGGTGCCCGATGTCCAAAGGGCCCGGTTGTCACCTCTGCTTGGCAGTGGTGTAGTACTGCAGGGGTCAATCTCCACTGCCATTGCCATGCATAGCCCTCCTTATCTCGCTGCCTTCCAGGCTAATGGCGACAGCTCGCACAGGCTGCAGATAAAGGTGCAATTGCTGCCAAGCAGTAAATTATGTCTGCTGCCCTGCACTGCTCCACTGGCCTGGCCTCAACTGCCTCAGCTGGGCAGTGGGAGTAGGAGTGAGAAGAGCAGCATCTCCTGATCTGCTGCTTTGCTTGCCTTGGTTTTCCCTCGCAGAGCTTCCTGCCTCTGCCAGCTCACCCCTTGTAGAATCTTTCCATGATTCCTGTCTTCACTGGTCCCCTGGGAGGAAGGAACACAGCCCGGGAGGCTCTGTGTATAATTTTGCATCAGGGTGCTAGTTGAGGGGGTGGAGGAAGGGGTAGCTCTGCCCCCCTAAGTTGCCTTCACTCTCCCTCCTTGCACGTGGCTTTCCAGTAGTTTTTTGGGCTGGGCAGCGATTGGTTCCGACACTTGTCTTGGGTCACAGAGTGACTCTTGGCCCCCGATACCATTTGCCAATAGCAAATGTGAGCAGGGTTCAAGCAGTGCCAGGCTCAGCCTCGTGTTCCTGTCCCAGTGCATCCCATCTCCATCTTATTTACAGTGGGAAGAAGGTGGCTTCCAGTTTTCTTTCCCTCTGTGTTAGCAGCATGTTGCACAGCAGCCACAGCCCCATCCACCTGTGCATGGAGGAGCAGGGTCTGCCTTTGGCACCATGGCCCCCACCTCAGCGGGCTGGGACAGGGCTGGCTAACTCCCTGTTTGTCCCCGAACCGCAGGTCGGAGTGCCAGACGAGAGGGGCTGTGTCTCTGCTCCCTGCCCGGGGCCTGCCCTGCCCTCCGCCGGCGATGGAGTATGTGGTAAGGACTTCGGTGGAGGGCTAAGTGGCTTCGGTGGTGGATCCTGCCTGCCTCCTCTGTCTTCTGGGAGGTCTCCAGCCTCTTCCCCACATCTCCACTGGCATCTCCTAACCCCCTCTTCAGAAAGAAGGAGAGGTTGCGTGCAGGAATGCATAAATGTTGTTTGATGCTGCTGTGATGCGTGGGGGAAAAATCAGCTGATGGCTGGATTTGAATGTTCTCCTTTGCTTCAACCCCTGCCTCAGAAGTTCAGCATTGGCTGCAGTTTGACAGAGGGGGTCTTCTGCCCAGGGTGAGGTTTGTATGTGTGGCCATCTGCACCTTGCTGCGATTTCTTGCCAAATCACTGGCATGTTCCAGGCCTCTGACTCAGCTTCCAGCTTTTTCCAGGGAGGATGTTGGTAGCGGAGCCCTGAGTGTCCCCACTCTGCTTTTCTTCCTTGCCTCAGGTAGTGTGTGAAGTCCCAGTCTCAGGTGCCTGAAAGTAGTCCACATCCTTCTTTTTCTTATGATCCATTGTCTTCCTGTGATGGCAGGGCACATGGGGAGCAGCTGGGCCAGGATGTGTCCCCAGAGCTCCTTGGGGGCAGTTGTTCCAGGTGCCCTGCTCATACTCTGCTGCACAGGCAGGAGCTCCTGGTATCTGCCTGGCAAGGGGAAGGGCTGCAGCCTGTGATATGGGGCTTGGGACTGCCTGTTCAGGTAGGGCCAGTGTTCTGTGCCTTTGCACATCTCCAGGTTTGCCTTCTGCACTGAGGCCACTGGGAGGGAGCTCTGATGCCCTGGGGTGGACTCTGGGGCTGGGGGGGGCTATCATGGTAGCACCTCTGGTCTCTAAGGGCTGGGAGCTGCGATGCATCTTGTCACAGGCTGTTGAGTGATGTGGATAGACTGGCCTCGAAGGTTCTGAGAAAATCGGGAGTTACTCTAGCTTATAAAAGCAAAGATGTGTCTGAGCAGGGGCTTCAGCTGGGAGGCTCATGAGCCCCTTGCTGCCTGGAGGTAATAGCTGCTCCAAGCCCTGGGGTGGTGAGAAGGGGCCAAGGAGACACTCCTGCCCCCCTGCAATTCCCTCCTGCTCTTATCCTGAGGAAGCATCAGGGCTCACAGATCTGCCACGCCAGGCAAGCCCAGGCCCACATCAACCAATGGCCAGTCCCTCATGGGCAAACATCACTGCTCCGTGGCCACTTGATGCCGCCCAGCCAGGCTTCCCTAGCAGCAGGGCTGTACTGGCCCCTCACCGGGCCAGCGACTTCCTGGCTCCGGGCTTCCTGCTTTTCTTCAGAGGAGTGGTGCTGCGGCCACAGGAAGGTCACAGCGCCAAACAGCCGGGGGCCCCTGGAGGGGACAAGCACTTTGTGGAACAGCCAGCACGGGCTCTCTCTGCCTGTGGGACCACCATGGCTGAGGTGGGGAGGGGGGCCGGCATTCACAGAGCTAGTGTGCGTGGCCAGGGAGATGCTTCAGTGACAGGCCCACTGTCACGTGCCACAGCCCCTCGCATCAAGTAGGTGGCAATTTCTAGCCCTGTTCTGGCTTTCCTTTCCCTGTCCCCATGGCAATATGCCAGGCTTTGTGAAGTGGGGCAGGCAGCTGCCAGTACCAAGCAGTGCTGGGCAAAGGCTCCAAGCAGGGAGAGCCTTTTCCTTGGCCTGGATTTACCCAGTTTTGGTTTGGTGGCCAGAGCACCTGGTGGTTGGTAAGGGTCTGGTTTGTGGTGTGTCAGGACGTTGGGTTCTGTCTGAACTCCTTGCCTCATCCCATAGATGGTGGAGGGGAAAGAGCTCTTGTCCCTCAGTGGGGCCAAGGCTGTGGAAGGCAGCACAGTCGGGCTGGCCCAAGTTCCTACTGCATGCAAGTGCGTCAGTGATGGGGAACAGGGGAGACCTGCCCCTAGCCTCCCTGATCCACAGGTGGGAGCGTTGCCCAGCTTCCCGAGGTTGAAGGGGCCGACTTTGGCCCCGGCACGTTCTTGCCGCCCGCTCCTGGTAGCTCCGCCTGTGACCTTGATTTTTCTGCTCCAGATAAGCGCTGCGTCCCCACCCCTCGCCGGGAGCCCCTCCTGCGCTGCGCCCCAGCCCCAGCGCAGCCCGCGCCGCGGGCAGAGCCTGCCCCGCCGCCTGTGAGTCAGCACAGCTCTTCCGATCAGCCGCAGCCCCTTCATCTCTTCTCCCGGGAGGAACAGCTGGGATGCGGGAAGCAGCAGCGATTAGCTGCAGCCTTTCCCACAGGCTCCCCACCACGGCTGGGGAGCCGTGCTGAGCCCAGCCTTGCCCAGCGCACAGCCTACCTGTATCCTACTCCTGGCCGTCCTCCTCTTTCTCCCACCGGCCCTCCAGGGAAGATCTGTGCTCTCAAAGGACTGCTTGTCCCTGTATTCCAGGAAGCTGCGAGCACTGGTGTCATCTCAGCATCGCTGCTCCCCCCGGCAGAGCCCGGCAAGCCAACAGCAGCTGCTCATCACCGGCACGTGGGTTGGGTGGCGCTGGCTGCCACAGAAGGACCTTGTTCCCTCCTGGACAGTGCTCGGAGCAGGGCTGGGATGGGCTTGGATGCGCTCTGTGTCTGCCTCATCTCCGGGCTTTAAATATTCATGCTTTTGATTTTCTCTTATCGGGCAGCCGCACAGAGGGCTGGAGTGAGCTGTGGGGCGGAGGGTGGCCGAGCTGAATCCAGCAGCAGGGCAGAGGGAGCTGGATCTGGACCTGGATGAAGATAATGGGATTTTTTGCTGGCCCGGTGTTGGAGTGGCAAGGGGCTTGAGGACCTCCAGGCTGGGGACAGAGCATTCTGAGCTCCCCTCCCTGTGCCAGCGGCTCCCCAGAGTGTCGCTGCAGCCCCATTTCCTCCCTGCTGTGGTGTGTTGCTCTCAGTCTGAACGGATCTGCACATCCTTCCTGACGCCGATCACGATTGATCGGCTGTGCCTGCACAGTGCTGGGCAGCCCCTGGACCCACTGCCCAGCAGCCCACGCCCAGCTCTCCTTGCCAGCCATGCCGGGCTGGCGTGGACCTAGCACAAAGCTCAGCCGAGGCTTCTGCTTGGGGGCAGCTTCCCGGCGGCTGCAGGCACTCGGTCTCTCTGTGGGGTCCCTGTGAGGCCCAGCTAGCTGCATCCACCCTACCGCCACTCTGGACAGGGCGGCTGTGGCCCTTCTCTCCTGTCTCCAGCATGGATCTCCTGCAAAAAAGCAAATACAGCCACCTGCGGAACGAGTCTGTCTCCTCTCCGGAGGAGGCCGTGGCGGGCCTGGGAGTCCCGCCCTCCCCAGTGGAGTCCCTTGCAAGCATGCGGTCTCTGCCTGGTTCCCTGTCCTCCTCCTCCCTCAGCCACGCTGCACCTCTTGGGGAGCTCTCACCTGAGGAGAGCCCTACCACCCTCTGCTCCTTCTTCCCCAAAATGGCCAACCTGAAGCTCTCCAATCCTGCCAACTTGCTCAGCTTGCGGGGCTCTTCAGCCAGCAGCAGCCCAGGGGAACCTGGTCCCCTTGGGATGCCAGCACTGGTGCCAGGGGGTGCTGCCAGCCCTGGCTCAGTGAGACCTGTCACTGTCTGTTCTCAGGATATGAACAAGCTGAGCTGTGGGAAGAAGACGCGGGTGGAAGGTGGCCAGCTGGGGGGTGATGAATGGACCCGCCACGGCAGCTTTGTCAATAAGCCCACCCGTGGCTGGCTGCATCCTGATGACAAGGTCATGGGCTCCGGGGTCTCCTACCACGTCCGGGTGAGTGCTGGGGAGTGGAGGAGAGTGGGAAGGGTCACTGTGGGGATTTTAGGACCTCCTGGTGATAGGATGCACCATGCTCTTTGAGGGAGGGGTGGGGGACAGGGCGGGGCAATGGGCAGTGAGATACCCAGGGAAGTTAACTGCTGCAGAGCCGGCATGCTTGAGGCCCCAGCCCCTTCCCTGACTGCATGGGGGACAAACTCCATGGCTAGCCAAGCTCACCTTGCTCTCTTGCACAGTACATGGGCTGTGTGGAAGTGCTCCAGTCCATGAGGGCTCTGGATTTCAACACCAGGACACAGGTGACCAGGTGAGTTCTGCCTCTCCCCAGAGGCTGCTCCTGTTGGGGAGGGGTGAGCCCTAGGCAAGCTCCTGGTAGCACATGGGGCTTTCAGTGGGGGCCAGGGGCTGCTGCAGCCCATCAAATACTAATTCCAGTGCACTTTGTCCACCCAAAGAGCCCCAGCTGGCACTCCCTGAGAGCTTCCGCTTTGTCTCTCTCTCTCTCCTGTGCTGATCCCCGTGTCCTCAGTCCTGTGGTTGGGGGGTCTTGGGGCAAGGCAGGCACTGTGGGGACTGACATCTCACTGTACTCCCTACAGGGAGGCCATTGGGCTGGTATGTGAGGCTGTGCCTGGTGCCAAGGGAGCCGTGAGGAGACGGAAGGTGAGGCCTGGCTGGGAAGCTGCTGGGGGAGTGTGCATGGCTGGTTTGGGCACAGGGCCAAGGACCACATCCCAGCCCAACTGGCAGTGGTGTGCTGGTCAGCCCAGGGCTCTGATCTCCCAGCTGAGGCTTGGGCCAGAGCCAGTGGTGAGGACAAGGTACCTATTTCTGCTGTGGAAGCAGTGGGAAGTACCCTGTCCTCCTGCTGCTGGGCTGTCTGGTCTGGGGAGCCCTTCTCTACACTAGTGTTTGCCCCTAGCCCTGCAGCCGCTCCCTGAACTCCATCCTGGGCAAGAGCAACCTGAAGTTTGCAGGCATGCCCATCACCCTGACCATCTCCACCAGCAGCCTCAACCTCATGGCCTCAGACTGCAAGCAGGTGAGAATGGGGAGGGGTTGGGTTGGCTTTGGACAAGCAGGAATCCTCATGTACCTCACCCCAAGTCTTGCTGGGGCAGGGGATGTACCCAGCCTCCTCAGGGAATGTCTGGATGGGCTGTGTGATGAGTGCCCACCTCCCCGCAATTCCTGGGGCTGAAGAGGTGGGAGGAATATCCCATGTGCTTTGTGGGATCTCTCCTGGAGATGGTGAGACCCAATTCATCTTGCCTGGGGCCAGATCTGGTTTTGACACCATTCCCAGTGATGTCCCAGTCCTTTTCCTGGTGTCTGTGGCTCATAACCAGGGCTCTGGAGGATTTTGAACCCTCGTGGTGGGTCAGCCCTGGGAGGAGTGGGATGTGCCACCTCTAGGTGGGTGACAAGAAATCCCTGGTTGTGTCCAACAAACTCTCCACCTTGCAGATCATTGCCAACCACCACATGCAGTCTATATCCTTCGCATCAGGGGGAGACCCGGTGAGTACTCAGGGTCCCCATTCATGCCCTGTGTAGGGGCCTCTCCTGCCCTCTCCTGGGCCCAGTGCTCCCCAGCAGCCCTGTCTCACTGCTGCTGTCTCACCCACAGGACACAGCCGAATATGTTGCCTATGTTGCCAAAGACCCCGTCAATCAGAGAGGTGAGGGTGCTGCAAGGGTCCTCAATGCCAAAGCCCCATTTTGGAGGTGTTCAGGATCAGTTTAGTGTAGCGGGGGGAAACTGGATGACCCATAAGAAAGCTCTGGGGTGTGCAGAGCAGGCTCAGGGGTGAAGAACCTTAGTACTGGAGTTCCACAATTGCATCCCACCATTTTCTATCCAGCCTGCCATATCCTGGAGTGTCCTGAAGGCTTGGCACAGGATGTGATCAGCACCATTGGGCAGGCCTTTGAGCTGCGTTTCAAGCAGTACCTGAAGAACCCTCCAAAGCTGGTGACTCCGCACGACAGGTCAGACCAGGGTTGTGTCACAGGGAGGAAGATGGTTTTGGAGAGGGGATGCAGCTGTGGCTGCTGTCACAGGCTTATCTATACTGTGCTCTCCCAGAATGGCAGGGTTTGATGGCTCTGCCTGGGATGAGGAAGAGGAGGAACCAGCCCCAGATCACCAGTACTACAACGACTTCCCTGGCAAGGAGCCTCCCATTGGGGGGGTCGTGGACATGCGGCTGCAGGATGGGGCTGCTCAGACCCCAAATCACTTGGGTGCCACGCTGGTGAGGCTCTGGGCATGTCTTCTTGGGGAGGCACCATCTTAAAAGGGAGATGTAGGGCCATGGGTTCTGCTGAGGGTTATTCATGTCTCCTTGGTGTCTCTGGCAGCTTGGGGAGTGGGGAGCAGGAAGGGGGATGAGTATAAAAGGGGGTGGGAGCTCATCACTGCCTCTCCCTGCAGCCTGTCGGCCAGTCATCCGGTGGGGAGTATGACCCCCAGAAGCAGCATGCTCCTGCCCAAGGTAATGTGATGGGTGTGGCCAGTGTCTATCCTCTTTCATGGATCTCAATTGCTCTGATGATGGGCACTGGTGGGGGGGTGCCAAGGTGGGCTGAAGCCCTGCTGACCACAGTGCTCCTGGTAGCAGGGAGAGAGAAATACCCAGCTCCAGCAGGCACATCTGGCCGCACAGACCTGTTTGATGACCCATCTTACGTCAACGTGCAGAACATAGACAAGACACGCCAAGCTTCAGCTGCCAGCAACCCAGGCACAGCCAATGGCAGCACACAGAGGGACCTTTTTGACATGAGTGAGTGGGACAATAACTACAAGCCAGGGTAGTGGATAGGTGGCTGTGTGCTTGTTCATGGTTCCCCTGCTCCTCTCTCCTTGCAGAGCCCTTTGAAGATGCCCTGCGTGTGCCCCCGTCTGTGCCTGTGGGGCTGCCCCCTGCCCAGGTGGTGGCCTCCATGGAGGAGCAGCTGAGACGGGAGCCCTGGTACCATGGGAAAATGAACCGCAAGGAGGCTGAGAAGCTGCTGAAGGTGAACGGAGACTTTCTGGTGCGGGAGAGCACCACCACCCCGGGCCAGTATGTGCTGACTGGTTTGCAGGGTGGACAGCCCAAGCATTTGCTGCTTGTCGATCCCGAGGGAGTGGTGAGTCCATGTAGGGGCCTGGGAATGGAGTTTGGGACAGCGGGGGGAGGTCCTAAGGGTTATGAGAGCCACTGGAGGATTTGGGTTCTGCACTGCTTATCAGGGGAGAACTCTGGGCTGACTGAGGATGGGGAGGGCCTGGTGGAGCACGGGTTTGAGACTGCAGCCCTAGGTCTGTGCCTTGCCCATGCCATGGGGGGTGGTGGCTCTGGCCTCACATGGGCACTGACAGCCTCCTGAGCACTCCTTTTCCGGCCCACCAGGTGCGGACAAAAGATCATCGTTTTGAGAGTGTCAGCCACCTCATCAGCTACCACATGGACAATCACCTGCCCATCATCTCGGCCGGCAGTGAGATGTGCCTGCAGCAGCCAGTGGAGAGGAGACTGTGAGCGCCTGGGGACCCCAGTGCACAGCACCCCCAATGCGCAGCCCTCTGGCCGTGTTCCATGCCCCAGGGAGCCCTCAGACTCTTCTAGGTGCTCCAACCAGGACTGAGCATGGACTTGGCTGAGGACAGGGCCTCTCTTCACCACATGGAGCTGGTGGCCATGGGGGGCTCAGGCTGTGAGTGCCTGCAGGGTGGGGAACTGTTCTTGCAAAACCCCTGCCCCTCCAGCTCCAGCCTTTGCAGAGCAGCTCAGCTCCTACCAAAACCCAGCCCTGCTGTCGTGCCACAGCCATTCTTGTGCTCACCAGCACGGGCTCAGACTGGCAGGGCTGAGTCCCCCTGAGCCAGAGGCAGCCTGTCCTTACCTCTGGCCCCTGGGCCAAGGAGGGGGCCTCTGGGGGGCTCTGCTCCTCCAAGCACGAGGCCCTCGACTGTACCGGATCACTTTATGTGTTAACTCTGTGCCTTGACCCCGCAGGTCCCACACTCTTATGCAAGAGCAGGGGCTGGTTACAGAGCCTCCCCCGTGCTCCCAGCACCCTGTACCCCATCCGTGACATGCTTGTGCTCCAGGATATGTGCCACCAAGTCCCCTTCCTCCCTGCCCGTCCCGGCTGGGCACGGGCAGCCCTGGCAGCCCCGGGGGGTTGGCGGGAGGACCCCCCCCTGCATGCACAGTGTAACTCCCCCCAAGCCAAAGCGCATCCCCGCCCCTCGCAGCCCCAGGGCCCTGGCCCCGCTATACCAAAGGAACTGGCGGTTGTATTAAAGTTGGTATTTCTCTAGGCCCTGGCTGGTGTGAGCTGGGGGGTCACTGTGGGCGGGTGGTTCCTTCCTGTGCAACCCTATGGGCGCTACAGCTCGTCCTTTTTCTTTCCCCTCCCCCCCAGGACCTCATACGTGGTTTGTCCGGTCTGTTCTTTTCACTGTGCCCCCCCCCTTCCATCGCGCTGCACTTGGTTTGGTCCGACCGAGGGGTAGGGTGGGAGTCTGCGGTGATTGACACATCTTGCGCGTTTCGCTCCGCCCCCCCCCGCGGTGTGATTGGCCCTGCGTTGCTTCCGGTTCCGGTCGGGCCATGGCGGCGACGCGCGCGCTGTGAGGGCTATGGCGGCCCCGCACGCAGAGAAGCTGGAGGGAGCGGTCCCAGCCCCGCCGCCCCCGCCGGGGCCCCCGCACCCCGCGGGCAGCGCTGCCGCCGGCGGGCCCGGCCGGAAGCAAGGGAAGGCAGGTGAGCGCGGGTGGGCCGGGAGCGGGGTGGGTGGGGGTCGCCCCGGCCCCGCTGACGCGGCCTCCCTTGTCCCCTCAGGGCTGCAGATGAAGAGCCCCGAAAAGAAGCGGCGCAAGTCCAACACGCAGGTAAGGCTGGGCTTGGGGCGGCTCGGGGGCCGGGGACAGGCTGCAGCCACCCTGACCGCCACCTTCTCCCCGCAGGGCCCTGCCTATTCGCACCTCTCGGAGTTCGCCCCGCCGCCCACTCCCATGGTGGACCACCTGGTGGCCTCCAATCCCTTCGAGGATGATTTCGGGGCCCCCAAAGTGGGGGCGGCCCCTGCCCCCTTCCTGGGCAGCCCTGTCCCCTTCGGCGGTTTCCGCGTGCAAGGGGGGATGTCGCCGCAGGTTCCCCCCGGTTACGGCGGGGGTCCCCAGCCCCTGCGGAGGCAAGCCCCCCCTTTCGCCCCCGGGCAGATGGGCCCGGCCTTTAGCATGCCCCCCCAGAATCCAAACTACGTGCAGCCGGGGGGCTTGACCTTCGCCGGGCAGCCCTTCAGCCAGCCCCTTGGACAGAACTTTAGCCCTCCGATGGGGCAGCTCATGCAGGGGCCTGTTGCGGGCTTTGGGCCCATGATGTCCCCTACTATGGGGCAGCCCCCGCGGGGGGACATGGGCCCTGGGCCAGCCCTCAATCCCCCCGGGGGACCAGCAGTGGCTCAGCGCTTCAGCCAACCTAGCAACCTCTTTGGACAATCGCCCATGCAGCGCCCCGGGCAGAACATGCCACCCCTGCCCCCCACAGCCAGTCCCTTCCCTGGGGCGGATCCCAGCTTCCCTACTAGCAGCGAAGAGGGGGGCAAGAACCCTCCCCCCAGCACCTTCGTCCAGGAGCAGCACTCGGGCTCCCCCGCGACCGTCAATGGGGCACAGCCTGGGTTCGCCCCCAACAGTGCTGGCCGCAGTGCCAGCACCCCTGAGACCAATAGCCTCCCACTGCCACCCCCTGGCAAGGCCACCAGCACCTCAGGGCACCAGCCACCACCAGGGCTTGTGTACCCCTGCGGGGCCTGTCGCAACGAGGTGAACGATGACCAGGATGCCATCCTGTGCGAGGCCTCCTGCCAGAAGTGGTTCCACCGAGAGTGCACAGGGATGACCGAGAATGCTTACGGGCTGCTCACCACTGAGGCCTCTGCTGTCTGGGCCTGCGACTTCTGCCTCAAGACGAAGGAGATCCAGTCGGTCTACATCCGGGAGGGCATGGGACAGCTGGTGACTGCCAACGACGGCTGAACCACCATATAGCTGCCATGTACAGCTTTCCCCCACTGATTTAGGACCAAACCCCCATTTTTTGTAGCTGTCGCCCCCCTGCCAGCCAGAGAGGCACTGCCATGCACTGGCTGTGGCCGCTCACCAGGCACTGCCTGCCACCGGGACCCACCAGGGGATCTGGGACGGTGCTGGCTATGCCGTTGTCAGGCCCTTGCTGTGGGCAAGGCTCTGGCCCCAGCGCACGGGCTTTGTGAGGGCTGAGGCTTCCTGGTGCTCCACAGTGCTGTCCCCAGTTAGATCATTGCCCTTGCAGGGGGCACCTCCTGGGCTGTGCAGCGGTCCTGGTGCCCCCTTCCGCATTCACAGGGCAGTCCCGCTGCCCTCTGCTCCGGTGCTCGGGATGCTCCCGGTACCCACTCCCCACCCCAGGTCCGTCCGTTTTAGCCAATCGTTAATGGAAATTTTTGTACCGTCGTTATAAAACTCTTAAACGCGCGTGTCGGTGTCTGTCCGAGGCAGGTGCCCGGGGGTGTCGGGGTGTGTGTGTGTGGTAACGGGTGGGGGTGCCGTGGGACCGGTTGTTCGGTACCGGCGGGGCCGCGCGCGCTGTTCCCGCCCCCCCGCGCGCCGCGGCCTATGATTGGCTGCTCGCGTCACGTGCGCGCCCTGGCTCGGGGGCGGCGGCGGCCCCGGGGAAAGTTCCCGGCAGGACGCGGCGGGTGCAGGTACGGCCCGGGGCACGGGGGGGCGGCTCCCCTGCCAGGCCGGACCCGCCGTCGGGACGGGGCTCATCAGCGGCGCAGGCGCACCTCGGATATGAAGCCGCGGGAAGCGGAGAGGAGGGGGGGGATTGTCAGCGGCGGGGTCGTCACCCCTCCCAGGGCGGTTCTGGGTCCTGGGCGGGTGGTGGCGGCGGCGGCGGGGGGGTTGGGGGGGGGGGGGCGGCAAAGGGGCAGGGGTTGCTCGAGACCCCCTTCCAATACTGCCGCTTTGCTGTGGGACGGTGCGATCCCCACCGGGGCCCCTGGTTTCCCCACGCCAGGCTCCGCGTCTCCCGTCCACCTGCTGGGCGGCATCACCGGCTAAAAATACCCCGCGACGGCAGCTGGTGTCAGTGGGGGTGGAGCCGCAGAGCCGGTGCACCGGGACAGCTCCCTAAAAACTCCACAGCTACAGCGGGGCTGTACTGGGACCATGGTTCTCCCGGTCACATTCAGCTGGTACTGGGAGTTGGGTCATGTCCCGCTGTCCGCGCGTCCGCCCGTCTGTCTTCTTGCAGGTAGCGCTGGACTGTCCCTATGGCGGAGAAATCGGATCCCCGAGATTCAGAGAGCAGCTGGGTACTGGCGGGCAGTGAGGTGAGGACTGGCAACTCCCAGAGCAGACCCTCACTGCTTGAGATCTCCAGGGCAACATCCCAGAATTATGCACCCCATGCCTTGTGGCCCTTAAGGCAGCCCCCCAGAGCTGGAGACCCCTAGGCACACTCCTCAGAGCCTGCCCGAGGCTGCAGGGAGAATGGGGCACGTGGAGGTCGGGGCTCAAGGTGTCTCCCTATGTCCCCCCCTTCCCGTAGGGTCTGCCCATTGACACAGTGGGTCCAGAGCAGGACTCAACCTCCCACAGGTCTGATGATGAGGAACCGGAGGAGAAGGAGCAGGATGAAGGCACCCAGGAGACAGTCACAGGCAGGCAGCCACCATGGGTATGGGGCAAGCCTGGTGTCACCTTGCTGTGCCACTGTGTCATCCCCATGCTCTGCCTCTCCCTAGGCGTGACCACCAATGGTGCCACTACCTTTCCCAGCCGGACCTTGTGCCTTGAGGGCAGCAGGCAGGGGGTGAGTCAGAACCCGGAGGCCTGGGGCTGAGTTAGAACTGGTGGGCTGCTCCCCACAGAGGGACACCCCATGTGCCGGTGCCTATGTCTGCAGGACCCAGAGGAATGTGAGGACTCCAGGGAGGGGGCAGTGCCTGCCCTGCATGACTGTGCAGAACCCAGCAGGTTGGAAGGTGATGAGCAGGAGGAGCCGAATGCTGAGGCTGAGCCACAGCCCTGCCCTGACACCCCTCAAGCAGGTCTGGGTCTCACAGGGGACTGGCCTGGGGGAATATGTGCTGACAGTGTTGAAGTGTAGGCCCTCTCTGGAGGTACCCCCCATCTCCCTCTAGGGCCAACAGTGGAGGACGTGTGCTGTACCAGTAGTGACAATAACGTGGAGGGGCTGCGGTGGCGACAGGGCCACAAGCCCCACCCTGGGCCCCCCACTGTCACGCCTGCCCCACACCGGGGGACACCGGACATTGGTGATGATGGGCTCAATATGAGCAAGTACCTGCTGGGTGCCTTGGCGTTGGTTGCTGTGGGGCTGCTGATCATCACTGGTAAGTGGGGGTCCCAGTGGCTAAGGTCCCAGGGACAGGGTAGGGTCCAGACATCCCCCTCATTATCTCCTCCTCTCCCCAGGTGGTATCTACGATGTGGCAGATGGTGAGTACAGGTGACAGACCCACCCACATCTTGCAGCACCCTGGACATTCAGACCCATGTCCTCCTCTGCAGGCCCTGTGGAGAGTGTGAGGAGCTGGGACTTGGCTGCTGAGGAGCAGGAGTCTCTGCTGTCCGTAGACAGCAATGTAAGGAGGGGTCTCACGCACGGCTGAGTCAGGGCAGAGGGTGTCCTCAACATCCCCAAGGCTCCCAACCTTCCTGTCCTCCAGGAGTCTGAGCAGCAGCCCCCTCTGCCAGATGCTGGGGACTCACAGAGTGTGCAGTCCATGAGCCAACTCCTGGACAAGCTGGCCAAAGAGAACCAAGAGATCCGGCTCATGCAGGCGGAGCTACAGGTTGGTGCCCAGTGCCATGTTTCAGTGCTGTGTGCTGGTGCTGCTCTCCCGCTGCCACCTCTTTCAAATCCCCCCCACCCCTGCCCCAGGCCCACAAGGAAGATCTGCGGGCACTGCTGCACAAGAGCGAGGGTGAGGCGGCAGCAGCCGGAGCACAGCAGCAGAGTCTGGCCGCAGAAAACGCGCGGCTGCGCATGGCGCTGGAGCGGGAGGTCGCCGCGCTGCGGGAGGCCCGGGCCGAGCTGCGGCGCCTGCAGGCTCCAGGGGCACCAGGCAGCCCCAGGGAGCCACCA